TGTATGAGCTGAAAACTGATCTGAAATCTTCACCATATAAAGTTTGCTGGCAAGGTCGATAGTCAGCAGTGATGGGAAATTAGTACACGAAGACTGAAAATAAATCACTTTTAAAGTTAATGTATAAATGTTTAGCCCTATTACCGTATTAAGATTTCGTTGTTGTACTTCAGTTGTTATCAGTATGTGTTGTACGATATACATACAGGCTACGTTCAGTTTTTACGCGTTGATTCTGAGAGAAATAACTTGAAGAGAAAGATAGCCATAGACGCAACGACTTCTCAGCTCCAAAGCACATCACGGCCCTCGCTGTTCAAATGATATAGTAGCGGAAATAAGGCCGTGTTTATCCAGTCTGTTTATCCAATTCAAGAAGAAAGAAAATTAAAAGGTGAAAATCTTTAATATAGAGACCAATATGTTTTACTAATCAAATGTGTGAATATATACATACAAACAAACAAATACACACACACACACACTTTGGGAGTGAGTGTGTTTGTGGATAAATAGATGGCTGATATTTAATCAACTGAATGACATTGATAGGTGTTGGTAGATAGAAATGGTTATAAGCCATATATATATATATATATATATATATATATATATATATATATATATATATATATATATATATGAAGAGAGGGGCGGAGAGAGAGACAAAGACAGAGAGCCAGAAAAATAGAGAATGGGATATTACATACAAACACAAATATATATTAGTTATTTACTACGGTATTCGTAGCTATGCGTAGTGGCATTGGAGAGATCGAACTCGCTAACGGAAACTCGGTCCTATCTATGGTCGCTACAGTAGGAATACTACCTACATTTCCACACGCTTACCGCTCATCTATCTATCTATCTATCTATCTATCTATCCCTGAAGCCATATATATTCTGAGAATCACTAGGTCTTGGTTCAACTTAGAACATAATTCCTTGCACGAGCACTAAACTTCAGGAATTGATGCTAATCAACACTCTGTAGCAGGCGCCTTGACGTTAGATATTGTTTGTTCTATTCGCTTTCTACCTGAATGGAAACCGATATTCCTACGAGGAAATTGATTTTATTACTCACTTAAATGTGCGAAATATTTGTCTAAAATTATAATTATCATTCTTTTTCTTTGCATTGAATTGTTTTTTTAATTTCACTGATAAGAATACAGTGTCATCCAGTCTGTAAATTGATTTAAGATGTTTCTCTTTGCACTTGGCCAATTTTACATTTAATTGCTTCAGATCATCACTGTTACATTGTATTTTATACCTGATGCATCGATATATTGCCAGCAGGAAAATTCTGGCTATTGATGATGACTATATGACAGTAACTCTCCTCCGTTCTTTAATTCGTTCTTTAGTATCTGTCAATAATTATGATTCATATTATTATTATTATTATTATTATTATTATTATTATTATTAATAATAATAATTTATTTATTTTTATTTGTTTAATTATTTTTATTTTCGGTTTCGTTAATTCGTAAATTATCAGGTGCGAGGAGTCTCGCTATTACTCGGATAAATAATGGACCTTTCCGTGTTGGCTGCTAGCAAATATGAAAGAAACAAACGAAAACAGGTTTTAACAGGCCGTTTAGTTTCAGAATGGGAGCAAGAGGGAAAAAAAACCGAAATAAATAAGTAAGTGACTCAATGAATAAAGAAAAATCAGGAAGGAATAAAAAAAAAAAAAAAAGAAAGAGAAAAGAAAGACGAGGCGATAAAGGCTTTCATTTGTTTAGCATCTGCTTCGGTCAAATTGAAAATCCTGTCATTTTTGGCTCTTTTTATTTGTACCCTCGTACTTCTTTAAATAAATACATGCATTTATTTTTATGAGTATTATTACAATGTTTTGCTAATGATATTAAGCTCAAATATTTAACGTTAAATTAAAGGAATCTCCACAGTTGTTTCATAGTCGTGAGGCTTTTTAAATCATGAAATAAGACATTACGATTCATAAGAAATTTCAAAAAGGAAAACCGTGTAAGTTTTACGGCTTCTGATAGTTATTATTATTGTTATTATTATTATTATTATTATTATTATTATTATTATTATTATTATTGTGGTTGTTGTTGTTGACTTTTAATGAAGATAGTAAATCAACTCTAAGTCTTTATCTCTCACGGCATATGTCGAAAATAACTGTGTAACATAAATGCTCTTACAAGTGTGCGAAATCGCTTCATGGAGATTCTAATGTTTCTTGAAGATATACGCACCTATTGCAAATCAATTTTAGTCCCTTTACGGACAGACGCACACTGATATGATTTTATCACTTGTGGGTGGTTGTCTATGTACGTTAAAAACATTTAGAAGATATTTCCGCGACGATGAACATATATTTTAGGTATATATACATATATAGATATATTATTGCCTAGGTAACACTCATAATTTCTCTCTCTCTCTCTCTCTCTATATATATATATATATATATATATATATATATTTTTTCCCGCGCGTTTCGTACACAGTGGGATATAATTATAAACAAAAACACACATACATCACACGTACACAAACGCACATATGTATTTTATATTCACATATAAGGCTGGCTAAATAGATATATAGATAGATAAACAGATAGATAGACTACAATAGTATTTTTAGTTTGAATCTGTTTTTAAATTTTAGTATAGTTTTACAGAATTAAATGAACATTTGTGTGTGTGCGTGTGTTTGTGCATGTACGCGCGCATTTGCGTGTGTGCCGAAGGAGACGGAGCACGTTCTTCTTCTTCTTCTTCTTCTTCTTCTTCATTGTATCACGTTTCACATCGTAAAAATATGGAACATTTCAGGAATGAAATTTACATCAACATCACTTGTTGAAGGCAATATTTATCCGTCAATGTTTCAGTTTGTTTTATTCAAAAAGATACATAGAATAAAACTATACTATCTAATCAGTTAATATCTATCTATCTATCTATCTATCTATCTATCTATCTATCTATCTATCTATCTATCTATCTGTTAATGGTGTTATAACTATTCACTGGTCAAACGTCTTGTAAGGATTCTTCTTTGTTAAAAGTCCTATTTGGTGTCTTCGAATTCAGAATTAAACTTGGCTTATGATTGGTAACATTATCGACGCTTTGTAGTGATTCTCTTAACATAATTCTTCATCCTATTTCCTCGTTTAAGATGCACCTATCAATGTCGAAAATTGTTTAATGATATTCTTGGTGTCATCAATGGTATCGACTTTTTTTATTCTGCGGACAACAGATTCTGTTAATCCCGCTCATATAACCAATATATCTTTGAATAAAGACTCAAATTTACCGACCATGACCTCTCTCAAATTGAAAGGCGAGATACCAATTTGACTCCATTTTTGGATGAATTTATTCGAAACAAACGATTTACCTTATGCATCTTGAACCAAATATTTGTTGAAAATTCTAGAAGAAGAAATAAACATGAATAATGAAATTTTGAAGAGTAGAAAAACAAAATCTATTGGGAAGTGTGGGGAAAGAGAAAGAAAGAGAAGGAAAAGGAAAAAAGGAAAGAATGTAGGAAAATTAAAGAAAAAGAAAATAGCATGAAGATTGAGCTAAACTTGCGAAAGCGGTGAAGAAAGGACGAAAGAAAGAAAGGACAAAAGAAAGAAAGAAAGAAAGAAAGAAAGGACAAAAGAAAGAAAGAAAGAAAGAAAGAACGAAAGAAAGAAAGAAAGAAAGACAGGGATTTAGAATAAAAGAAAGTGAAAAAGCTAATAAAAGTTAAACGAGAAACAATAAAATATAACCAGATTCAAAACGTTAAAGAAAGAGAAGCGGTGGTTGATTAACGTGGAAGCCAAGAAAAGAAATAAAAAAGAAAGATAATTAAATATTAAATGACAAAAAATAGAGACAGAATAGAAGAAGGAAGACGGAGAGGAGGAGAAGGAGGAGGAGAAGAAAATATCATATTTTTCTTGCACTAAGATAATTCCAAATTCATTTCCATAAGAGTAAATAAAAATGGCTTGGGTCACACGTAGACTTACTAATTTATATTTACTAAAGAAGAACAGAAAAGAGATTTAACTGAATGAAATATGGAGATCGGAAATACATACGATTTTAGATATTCTCTGGGAATCTTTGTCCAAATATATTCTAGGATCTATTGAGCTAACTATTGCATTGTCTTTCTGCAGTCATCTTTTTACCAACTTCTATTTACATTTTACTGCTTGTCCGAAAATATTTTTCAAAGAGGCCTTCGTGGTATTGTCTTCTGTGGAAGTTAATTCTTTGAGATAAATTACGCTTGAAGCCAGTTGGGTTCGATGGTTAAAAGCCCCATTCTAAATGATGAATCAAGAATGAACCCTTGCTTTTAAAGACAGTTTATCTAGTTACGTATATTCAAATATGTTGTGTAACATTCACCTATTTTCATTTCAATGAAGTGAAATAAACATAAGCCTTAAAGATCTTTATTTCCAGTTCTGTTCCACTTCCTGTCCATAACTGAATCCCTGTTGTTCATCCTCTATACAATCACCATCCTATTTTGTTTCAAGTGCCATGCCCTTTTAGGACGCGAACGATCATATCTCTCTGCAACCACACCTTTTCCATTGCTCTAAGCGCACATATGTACTTCATTTCAATAAGTGCAAATAAAATAAAACTTGCTTAGACGTACTAAATTTCATTCTACTTCTTCTTCTATGTGCCGTGTCCCTTCAGGACATTGGCGATCACAACTCAGTACAATTTTCTGTCATTCGTAGCTCTTTAATATATTGTCTTTTTGCTAAGTCTCTCATACCCTGCTCCGCCATTCATTCACACAAGCTCGCCAGACAGGTTGTGGGTTGCTTTTCTCTGTCTCTCTTAACTCCGTAAGAATATTACACGGCACTGAGCTCTTCACTAAGCTCTTCTTATAGACTATATTATTATCATGAGTTCACTTCTTACTTACTCCACGTTGCTAGTAGGGATGGAGAAAGGGGGCTTCAGCGGCCATTGTCTTGTTGGAACAAAGAACTAAACAGATAACAAAATTCATCCATTTGGTCTAATTTCAGGACAATGCTATTGAGCTTAACTGAGTCATTTGTCTGAAAATCATTACTATAATTAATTTTTAAAATATATTAGAACACTTCATATACTATATTTTCGAAGCATTAGCTTCTAAAACACACACACACACACACACACACACATATATATATATATATATATATATATATATATATATGCATGTATGTATGTATGTATGTATGTTATATGTTGCCAAAAATTAATAAGCCTCATTCCAGAAAATAAATACAAGCGAAAAAAAAAAGAGAAAAATGTGTATTTAAAATGAAAGGAAAAAGAACTTCTCTTTTTTTTTACAGCAAGTTTCACTCTTTACAAGGCCCGGGGGACACTCGAGGTAGATGGTTACCTTATTAGGCCATTTGTGTGTATAAGAATGGAAAATAGCGGTTAGTTCTAGATTGTAGTGTCCGAGGAACAATCCTGTTGGGATTTTGTTATACAGGGCAGTGTTTTGCGGGTAGATGCTGTTCAGGTGGAACTTACGTCTCATCGATGGAATACGGCGGGTATGTGGGTGTTTTCCTACTACCTAAGTGACATGGCATGTACTTGTCGTGAAGTACTGATTTGGTGTGGCCAGGGAATGCAGATCGTTCGAGTAATTTCCATGGAAGTAGCGGTAGAGCTATGAGAGGATTGTTCCAGTCCGCCTGTGGGAGAGAGTTTGAAAGATGGAGAAGAATTCATCACTCACAAGGGAGCGGAGATGTTTTTGAAATCTATCACGACTGGAGAGTGATCTCTGGTCAGATCCCGCTCAAATATGATAACAGTCCTCAATTTTTGGACTGATCTGGAAAACAAATTATAAAATCATGTATCTTTAAAATGTATTATTTGTTTTAGCACGTCCACTTTTAACACCTGTTTCATCTCCTCCTCCATTTTTAAAATAGGATTCCGCACACTATTAACATTTCGTTTTATGGCGCATATGCACTACGCTACTTTGGTCTACTGGGATTTAGATGTATGACGTAACACAGTAATTAGTAAGCTTACTATTGCTAGCCGATTTTTAAGTATACGATATAACCTCAAATGTGGTCGATTGGTAAATGGCTTGTGTCGGTCTAATCTATGTTGATAATAATTATAGTAATAAAAAAATGATGTCTTTCCTTTTAGCAATGTTTGAAAGTGGATCTCTCTTGTGTATTTTATTAAGTCCTCCTGTATGCCGCACATATATAGCCAAAAATAATAAATATAGTCGCCAGGAGAATTGCTTGTATTAGCAAACTCATTTGGGAGTCAATCCGTTAGTGTGACGATCTTTGTCTTCTAATTTAGAGAACTAACTATTGCGCTATATTTAGTAAAATCTATGCAGTCAGAAGGAAAAAATAATATTATGTGTTTGATCATTACAGGTGCACAAAGACGAATCTACTAAGCTATCCTTGGCAAGTAACTATAATATGAGTAAATGTTGTATTAGCCAATGTCTCAAAAACCTGGATAATTTTTAAAACAATAGAACCATTCATCTATCTGCGCAGGCGCTATAGGATGTAAAAATTAATATTATAATTTACAATGATTTTTCTGTTACAGCAAATCTTTCAACGACTCAGCAATTCGCAGGCGGTTTACCTGCACGAGCCACGACACGCACATATTTGCGCAGCTATCGTTTAAAAAGTAAATGTTATGAAAACCCCCACTACGATTCGAACTCTATTAGAAGTTAAGCTAGCAAACTGCTGCCTGAGTGTATAACTCATTCTCTAAAGCTGTCTACATAGACTGAAATAGTCTGGTACAAGGCTACACTGGTGAAGCATTCAATAAAGTTGGAAGCATTTGCTTCTTGAGATTATACGGTTAACGCTCGTTCTAAGCAAGAGACTACAAACGCTACTTGTTAATATTACTGCAATATAATTTTGAATGATTTGACTTAAACATTTATGACAAATTTTGTATGTTTAGAAATGTGGTTAGTTTCATAGGGTTCCTTTTCTACTGGAACGTTTAGGGGTGGTTTTATATTAGGACAAAAGCAAAAACGGAAGGATATATTTTCTTTAATCAGAAAACTTACTGAATTTTTAGAAAAGGACTAAAAAATCTTCAAAATGTTAAAAGGTGTTTTTTTTCTTATATGTGACTGCCTTGTTTGTATATTGTACGAAGGTGAACGTGCTTATTCGAAAACAAGTGCAAATCAATTATTGATGATGCAGTCGGTGAGTCAACTCCTTTCGTCATATCCATACTAAAGCTCCCATTTTATCTTTTTTTTCGTTGATGATAATAGAGATACATAACGATACTGTTCAACAATTACCATTTAGATAGATAGATAGATAGATAGATAGATAGATAGATAGATAGATAGATAGATAGATAGATATGTAGAGAGTGAAAACTGAATAAACTGAGAAAGATAGGAAGTGAGCTAGAAAGAGGAGGAAATGAATAGATGGACACATAAATACATATACGTGTTTGTGCGGATAGATAGATAGATGGAAAGAGATAAATGAAGAAAGTGAGAGAGAGATATAGAAAGAGAAATACTTGAACACTCATATATTTATATATATGTGTGTGTGTGTGTGCGTGCATATATGTATATACTTAGACAGATAGATATGCCTACCTTAAAATCCATTGTTGTCTTATTGTTTGTGATTTACCTCGACGCATACGTCGTCCATTGTGCCCGGGGATGACAAACAGCTCTATCAGCAACTCAGACACACGAGCATGTGCAAGCCCACAAAGATGCACACAATAGCATACACATATAGATACATGATCACACAGGCGAACACACACACACACACCCATTGTGCGTATTTCATATATATATATATATATATATATATATATATATATATATATATAGTAAGGTTTCAGAATTCAATAATAGATGAGGATATAGCAGGAAACATTCTGACAATTATTTTCACCTTTGCAGAATTGAACATTTAAATTTCCAATAATAATCCCTTAAATCTGGGAAGTATTTAATTACCAAATTTTGAATGTAAAGCATTTAAATCGAATTTTGCGCAAAATCAATTAATTTGCGAGCAAAAATCATTCAATTCTTATCTAAAAATTTAGAGTCAATGGAAAAGATAAGCAATTAGTTTTTGTCTCAGCTGAACATTAATGGCTTAATGTGGATTTATTTTAAGAAAAAATAATGTCTCCTTAAAATATTTTCAGGTTTAAAATATATTTATAAATATTTTAAATTTAACATGGGTTGACATGCGGTAGTCATTAATTTCTGAATTATCTAAATATTCTAACTGCCTGCTGTAACGAAAAATAGTATGTTTAATAAACTGTTTAAATTAGCGTACGTCACACACAAAAACATCCGCTGAAATTCCGTGTAGTGTAACTAATCGTATATATCAGTGAATGCTGGAAAATATTCGCAGAAATGGAAAGGCGTCTTGTATCAACAAAGATGTTGCTCTACAGAAGGATCATGAGAATTCAATGTACTGAAAATGTGAGTAACAAGGAAGTTTTTAAGTAAAAGGGGAACAAAAAGTAGACTTATGCATAGAATTCGACAAAAATTGGAATATTTCTGCAATACAGTGGAGGTTTAGAAAACTTTTCAGTTACATGACATATTAAAGTCAAAGGCACTGTGGGAAATGGCTGAAAACATACTTAGCGGACTATGGTAAATAGATGACAGGACAGTGACTGGGCGGGATATTAAGGAACACTATATATTTATCGATAGGAAAGTGTGGAGAGCGATGGTCGCTCACGTCCTAAAAATACATGGAACATAAAAGAAAATCAACTGGTAATCATCAATAATAAAAAATATATATATATATATAAAAAGAAATGAAGAATAATAGGATTTAAACATTACTATCTTAAAAGCTAAAATGATTCCAGAAAATTTAACAAAATTCACAATATTCCCTAATCTTTTGAATAGGAGTAGTGGTTTATGTCTTGTTTTCTCATTATTAGTGGGTTTCCGGTTCCTTCTAATATTTTTACAGTTCTCTCAGTCCCGGGAAACCTTGTGTCTTAGTGGCATTATCGCCGTGCGTGAGGTGAATTGTTTTTTGTTTTTTTTTTAAATCCTGAGGCAAAATATATAATAACTAAATAGGTTTTTGTTTAATATTTTCAAGGAAAATTCCTTTTCTTTGTAAAAATGGTAACTTTTTGTTATGAATAGTATATGATCATTAACCCAATTCCTTCAATCACCCTAAAATTTATTCTCATTTCACACAGTCAGTTTGTCGACTGTTTGAAAAGATACTAAGCGTATACTTTTGCTTACGGTCAGTGTTTCGTCAATCTTTTAATTGAAAATAACTTACCTAAAAAGATCAATTAAAATACTGTTTAGAATTCCTGCTCGGACTCGTCCATCTAACCACCAGTTAAACGGACCTAACTATTTCAGACATTAGGTAAGGCACGCAACTGCTGGTGTCTGCAAATTTATTTGTATATCAAAACCTGTAATTCCGAAGTAGACGTTTTAAATACAACACATAAACATTTGCATATTAGTAATTTTTTAAAAAGTTATCTGAATACTCAAAAAGTGATGAAATAACGTAAATGTTATGAAATTTTTGAACAATTTCTATTGTAATAAGTTTTGAGTAAGCATTGTTTTCACGAAATTCAAGCAAGAACAGGCACCGCTACGCACGAACACAGAGGGTAAATACTCTGAAAATCATCACTGGATAATATGTTGCTTTCGAGTGGTTTAAAATCATAAATGTCCACTACCACTTTATCAAAGATTCAGGGGCATATTTTTTTTTTATAAAAGACTTGTTCAAAAAGCTGAAAAAACTTTGAAATATTAAGAAAAATGTCGCTTAGTTTAGTCTGGCATGACGCCAACTATGAACGAAAAAACTATAGTGGGTATATTGTCTTGTGGTGCTTGCCTACGCTCGAAGATTTATCACTTAGCACCTTTATTGAGAGACATTTTCATTCATGACGTTAAATCTCATAGCATTTCAAATATATGTTTGCCAGTTAATATTTTCTACTCTCTTTCGCGGAATCTGTTCATTCATTTTGTTCCCTGTATTCATCTTTGAATTGTCCGCCATTGTCATAACAAGGAGATAGCAACCCGACGTCGTTAGTGCAAGGGAGATAATTTCCATAACGTTATGCTCAATACAAATATTACAGGCAAAACGAAAATGATTAAATGCTGTATTATAGAGATAAAAACAAAAAAAACCCTAGATATTTCCTCGATACAAATGGGAATAGATAAATTTAGGAAGAATGCCTGATTCCGTATTATAGATTCTGAAAGTCTAGATTTTGATTTAAATCGGACATTAGCCAGTTGTGTAGATAGAAAATAATCAGGAATAATACCATAGTAGTAATCGGATTTTGGACTGGCAAAAAAAAAAAATGACTAGAATAAACAAATGAGTTTGGCGTGTATTTTCCGAAGAGTAAAACATATTCTCTCATTTTATGATCAGTCTTTGAAATCTTGACTTTTCCCTGACATTTCTCTGGCCATAAATTAAATTCAACAACTAATTGAACCAATAAGCAATGTAGATTTGAAGATGAGCTTTGATTGGCTGGGCGAATATATGCTTGAGAAGGAAGAATGTAACTAGGCTTAATGATATAGGTAAATAGAGAACATTAATTTTACCGACATATAGTCACCATACTATTAATAACTGCGGATATTTACATAAAAGAGGTATACATCAGACACAGAGAAACACACTTACAACAATATATATATATATATATATATATATATATATATATATATATATATATATATATATATATATATATATATAAATTGTGTATTTGGGCGTCATTCCTCTTTTATACGTTTCATTGAAAATGACTGGCAACTTACCGCGGTTATGATTTTATTTGATTTTTCTTGTGTTCTCTTAATTGTCTTCGTTTCTGGACATAAATTATGAAGAAATTGTCCGAATCTTCAGTTTCGAGCCCATTCGGCTATACTTTTAGCCATTATCAAGGGTGATTTTAGTTTTACTTTTAACTGAATGTATGGAATGTTTTATGTATGCATCTAGAGTTATAGGCAAGTTACAGTTTACAAACATGGTCAACATATTGTGAACGTGGTCATACTGATATAATTGATTACTGGCCTTTTATTTTTTAGTAATAATAATTATATATATATATATATATTTAGGATATTTTACATGAGACTTTTATATTTGTATTATCAACGATTATATTACGGAAGCTGTTTGGTAGATTTCCATGTGTATTTAAATGAAATATAGTTTAGCTATGCTTAGAGAGATGCAATGAGAGTCTTCTTTTAGGCATGTTGTGGTATATCCAATTATTTTTTTATATTGGATTAATCAGACACTTAAGGTACATCTGATTTCGTAAAGAATATTGCTTCTCTGAGAAAAACGGTCGCGGTTTCGACCGCCAAGATCTCTTCAGGTAGTTAAAGTGAAGGAAATTTCCTTCCATACATTAAAACTTACACCGAAAAGTAATCAGATGTAGTTGGCGATGAGGAAAATATCCACCAGTATATATATATATATATATATATATATATATATATATATATATATATATATATATATATATCCTCAGTACTTATGGAAAGCGTTCAATACCAGTATTAGAACTAACATATTCAGGTGTATGGATATGAATTTTAGACTTTGTTTTTTACGCTTTTGATCATCAGATCTTTTCTTTTTCTGATGATCTCAAAACGTGAAACCCAAAACCACAACTTCATACAATACGGCTGAATATATATATATATATATATATATATATATATATATATATATATATATATATATATATATGGGCAGCAGTCTTTCTTTCATGCTTCTTTCATTGTAAACGGACGACAATGAATATTTAATTTATCTTTTATTAAATTTTTTTCAGCAGTTGAATATTTCTCCGCTTTTCAGAGGTTAAAGAATATATGAATTAACCCTAGTTATAACGGTTCCAAGCGCCATTACCAAAGATGTAATTATGGATGGTGAAATTCCGAATGTGGCTGCGACGTAGCAATTTTACAGTATGGAGTTCGAGTGATTTGTGTACTTCTGGGCCGTCAATGTTTTATGCGCGGCCAATTGACCTGGGAAGACTTCTATTTTCATAACACGTTTAACACACCGTCTACTTTGCTAAATTGTGAGTTTGATAGTTGCAGAATACAGTTTAATAAGCAGTGCCTCCCTAATGACGAGCTTTGTACGATTATGTGACCCGAAATGGATCCTTGCATTATCAAACATAATTTTCATTAAAGGTTCTTGGAAGTTAATCGCTCTCTGATGCGACATTTGGCATGTAAGAGATGTAGCCGAAATCTCAGAACAATTGTAACTTTGGATAATTCCTATATTTTTTTAA